AATTACATTTAATGTTTATATAATTTTCAATTGATTCGAGAAATATATTTAAAAATTATTTTTCACATTATTTAAAACATAAAGCATAATATTTTTGGGTAATTTTTAAGGTTTTTTTGTTTAATTCTATATAAAATCGTAATAATATAATAATTAAAAATTTAAAAAACATATATGTAATAATAAACTTTGTTATTTTAAAAATTATTGCTTTCAAAAGCCACGTACTTCATATTGTGTATTCCATGAATAAACAACATTTCTTTTAAATATTACGTTAATATATGATAATATTTTCTTCATTGTTGTCTTTTACATACTTTTCTATATCTCATTTTCTCTCTCTTTCTCCGTTTACAAGACTTTTTTGTCTACCACATATTAAATATTCACAATTTTAAAGGAAGTAATAACTGCAATCGTTAATCCTTTGAGTACTAAAACTGTATATTGGTAAGTGTAATATAGTGCATTAAAAAGTCATACGATAAAATAAAATGAAAATTTAATTTAAAACTAAAAAATAATATTTGTAAAACAAATTTAAGAAGCTAAATGCATATTAAGTTTTTCCGATATTTCTATAATTATTATGAAAAAAAAAATTGTATTAATTTACGTGCTTCTGCAATTTTTATACAACACGAATATAACTTTCAGCAGAAACTTTTTTTAGAAAAATTTTCATTCCACTATTACATGAATAGTTATAATATAGTAAATTCAATAGTATGAATTACTATGCTCAGTTAAATACGTAGTTAAAAGTCCAAAGAAATAATTTTTAAGGAAATATTCGAATGTTAATTCATTCGTCCCCCCCCCCCCGCCCTTATTCTTTTATTCAAAAAGAAGTCCTTTTAATACAAACTCACTTCACTTTTATAACAAAAGAATTATATTGAAGTTCTAAAACAAAGTAGTACATCTTTTATCATCATACCATATACTTAATGAAATTCTACTCAATTATTTAACTTAATTGTTAGTGGACTTAATATAATTATTAATCTTTTTAAATATAACTAATTTCAAAATCTGAACAGTAACTACACTATAAGACGATGGATAATAAGCTATTTAGCCAAACATTGCAATATAAATTTTTGGAAAATTATTACATAATATAAGACAAATTTTCAAAAAATAATGTTTGGCAATTAATATTATAAATACAGTTTTCTTAATTATCATAATGAAGAAATTTGTCTATATTAAAGAAAACTTTTGATAATTATGAGAAAAATTTGCTCAAAAAAATAGAACTTTTCTTTTATAATACAAATATTCGAACAAAATTAAACTAAAAGCTTACTTTGTAAATAAAAGGGTTTTGTAAATTTTTATAATTTAAATTTAAAAAGTATTTATAAATTTTACCATAACATCAAAATCCTTTTTTTTTTCTTTTAAAACTTTTATAGCACTGCTAAAAACAGAAATATATTCAATCTTTTGTTATAAATTTTTGCATTGCCATAATTTTCAGTATTATTAAAAATGTTGATATAATTATATAATAATTATTAAATAAATATTTTCAAAGTAGAATTATGGATCTGAAGAATCGTGAAGATATTTTAGCTACTTTACTCTTTATATAGATGGCTTTAAAGGACTTGCAACTCTAATAACTTTGGAAATATATTAATGATAATGTATACGCGCGATGCAATTAATTAAGTAAGCAGTTAAATAGAAAAGGAAAATAAAATTAATAACCGTAAAATTATGAACTAAATTGAATAAATAAGGGTTCTATCTAAGATCCTTTGTAAGGATAGAGTAACTAAATCTTCGTCTTCCTTACATTGATTAGGATTTGGACTTTGTGAGTTACTTAACAGATAATTAATTCGATTTTGGAACAATTCAATTCACTTATATCATTCAATATAATATCCAACAGAATATTATTTTATTTGACCACAAATAATCATTTAATAATATAAACAGTAAAATTATATTTATTAATCAATTTAATAAATATAAATATAGAAAATAGTAATAATAGAAGATATTAAAATTGTATTTTATACAAATTTTCAAAAATTCAGGTACTGAAAAACAAAGTTTAAAAGAAAAACTTAAATATTAACAAGAAAAATACCTATTATATCTATATTTATAAAAAAATATCTATTTTTAGTCTGATTGATAAAATATAAGACGAAATTTTATAAAATCGAATCAATATTATGAGTTATTGCATGGGTGAGGATTCATCAATAGTTGACAACGGAAAACTTTGTGGCTTCCAAGTTAGTTTGAGCTTAAGCGAGGATCAATTAATGAAAAGTCAATTAGAAATAAGAAATAAAAAGTTTTATATCGTGTTTGTGCAAGCGAGATACAAGGATGTTTCCAGTGGCATTTAAAATCCGATTGACAACTCGACGATTATTGCCCATTGACAACTGCCCAAATGGAAGGCGACGCCCATTGTTCTCGACAACTTTTTTAATCTCCTCTATCCTCACTACTAATGCATCTTGCACTTCACGTTAAAATAGATCTGCGGATGATATTTTTTAAAGCTTATGCGACAATATAATTACTTTGTAATTATAATACATTAGAAGTATGTTAGTTATTTAAAATTGATGTATTACATGTTTATTTAAATTATACACATATATATATATATATATATATATATATACTATATTAGGATAATTTTCGGGAAACTATTTGAAAATAATTCTATAGTTTACAATGCGCTGAAATATTTGAGATATTTATATTACTTTGATTTTATTTTGATATATTACTTTATAACGTTAAACTACAATTTATTAAATTATTTATTCGATTTTCATCCTTTTATAGGATGATCCATTTAATATTATGCATTACATATAATAATTTGATAATAACCACACTGTTTTACAGTAGGTTAAGCGTATAATATTCATCAAATACTGTAGCCTATACTTCTGTGTTAACGGTATCTGAAAATATGTAAATAATTGTATTTATTAATATTAAATTTTATTCCTATACGTTTAATGGAAATGTAAAACAACAATCTTTTTTTATTATGATATTCAATAAAAAAATATAAACTCCATTCCTCATGATTAATTAGTGCACTCGTTTTATTATACAGGATAAATAATACTAGATAGGTAAATAAACAAATGATTACGTAAAACAAATTTTATTTTATTCATAAATCAATTCATTTGAATTCAACTTAAAGAAAATCATAAGTTTTGATATTGTCTTTTATTTATTTTTAAATAAGTATGTTTAACTTATATTAAAACTAGATTCATTTTTTATTTTTACATTAAATCGCGTGAAATAAGTTTATAAACTACAGAAAAATGAGATAACTCCTTACAGTTATGGAAATAGAATTAAAGTAAATACTTTAATTACTAAGTAAAAAGAATTCTTTATCTAAAAGTTTCCAATAAATACGTTATAGCTATTTTTCTTTTTAAAAGTAGAAAATTAATGATTGAGTTTTCTATTATTTGTTATTTTGAAATTTTAAATTCTTGACTCTGCAAGGAACTTGTTTGTTCTTGACATAAAATATGCAGAAATCGTTTTAAATATTTGCAATTACAATTAACAATAAACATTTTGAATGTTATTTAAAGAATATGTTAATGGACTCATTAGCATTAGTATTTTATTTCTTAGTACAAGTAAAATATATATCATAAAGAAAATTATTTTTAAAAAATATAAAACTTTTCATCTTATGCATCAAATAATTTCTCCAACAATAATAAAAATGAAAAGACTAGAAAAAAACTTCGCCTTTTAAAATGTATAAATTTATTACATAAAATACAAATCAATTAGAGTAATTTTTTAGCTAATTTATTGTTGAAATAAATCAAATCTTATAAAAAATTATGATGATATAAATAATATATATTTATATATATATATATATATATATATATATATATATATATATATTATAATTTCATATAACAAGAAATTTTTATATTATTTAGTAAACATATTTTAATGCAAATACAACAAACAATACTTTCCCATTGTGTCATTGGTTAAATTAATAGTGTTGTCTCTTTTTTTCTTCGTTATATACAGTATTCTCCGGAATAATGAAAAAAAATCTATAATCTTGCTTATCTGCATAATTGAATGAAATATATTTATAGTCTGTTGGACTATTAGTCTTAGAATAAAGCTATCGGCACAAGAATTGTCCGCACCTTCCGTTATTCCTTTTACTCTTCAAGTGCTTCTCGTGGAAAGAAAAATATACAAACACACGATCCTTATTACGACAATAATGCGCAAAGATGCTTCGACAACTCATACTTAAAAATTTCATTCACTTCAAACTGCTGTATAATCCATATCTTCTTCGCAATAGCTTAAATAAAATAATAATAATAAAAATAATAGCTCAAGAACAAAACTCGCTGCCACACACCAGCAATTAAATTACAAGCTGTTAAACGACCTAATAGAATCCGTTACAACAACTGTTCGTTGTATTACGAAATTACCGCCAATGTACACAACAGTGTAATTGACAAAGCGATTAAGCTACTCGCGTTTATACGGTATGCGGTAGGAAGGGGCTCGTATCGCGGAAGCTTTAGCTTGTCGTCTTAATCATCAGTTTTAGTTGAGAGTGTTAGGGGGTGCACGACGCTTTTCCTGGAAAATACAAAATCTTCGCAATCCATGTTCTCGCCGCTCCCCATCTATAAATTTTCAGCCAAGTGTACATTTCGTGTGTGCGCGCCTGTTATTGAGCGACAAAACTGCCAATAACGGTCAATAACTGCTTCACGTCTCGCTTCGGACGCGCTTCAGCTTTCAGCGAGCTTCGCAGTCTGGCATAGACCCTAATACTTCTAATATTGCAAGTTCGATCCCGCTATCCCTCCCCTCCCCCTCTCACCGCACCGCTACACCGTTCACATAAATAACGGGGTTATGCGGTACCTGATGGCATAGTTCGTCCGATCGAATCGGCGTCTTACTACTGAAATACGCGAGCCAATCCTCCTGTATCGTAAGGCGGTAATTTTCAGGGGCGGATCCTGTTACAAAGACCTGGGTGGCTCGCTTCAGTAAATCTTGCTGAAGTAATCTAGAAAATTACTATCGCACTCACTGAATGCCCGGGAGCATTCGTTCGGCCGACGACGACGGCCGATGTATTCGGCTGCCAGATATTCCTGATCAATCGCCTCTTGGTCCGCAGTGCTGGACGGCCTGTTGAATGGAAAAAAAAATTTTCACATAATGGAAAACTTATTAGGAAATATTTCATGCCTTTTTCTGGACATATTAGTATTGTGTGCCAAGAAAGCCTTGACTTTTTTTCAATATTTCTGTATAGCTTGAAAGAAGCACATATGTCTCTTGGCATTCTGAAGAAAATTGTTATTCAACGAAAACTTGAAGAAAGCACTTTTCAGCTTCATGAAAAGTATAGTAAATATTTATTAACTATGTGTGAGAGTCGAAGAAAAACTAAGCTCTGCTTCATTGTCGTAATACAAAGAATTCCAATACTCTTATATTGTCGATCTCATAGAAAAAAGTCTCAGAATTATTTTTATTACAGATTTCCCCCCGGAATATGTTATTATAACGTTCTTTAAGTTGTTGTTTTTATATTAAAATGAAATAAAATTTAATTTAATATTTTTAACACAATGGTGAATTTGTCTCCGAAAATTTTCTTTATTAATCAAATAATTAACCATGCGTTGATTATAATATTGAATTTCTTATAAAACTTGCTTTATCTGCTATTCAAATATATTTAAATTAAGATAAATAAAATGTTCGCTGCTTAGTTGTATTTATATTTTCAATTTCATTTAATTTTATTGATATTATATATATATATATATATATATATATATATATATATATATATATATATGTGTGTGTGATTACCATTTTGCATTAAATAACATGTATTGTCAAACTTAAGTCATTAATTGGTACATAAAACTTTTCTCGTAAATACTCGCTTTGGAATTTCTCATATTGAAAAAAAAAATTCAATATAATAGTGCTTATTAATTAAAAATATTTAAGCTATACGAATAAAAAAAAATTTACCCCAAGCTTATATTCATTAAAACTCAATTTAAATATCGTCGCCTTACCGATACAGATAATGTTAACGTAAACGTAAAGATAGCTAATAAAGTCATACAACTAGTCCTTAATAGCCCAGGAGGCATGAGTATTCCCTTATGAAAGCAAAGATTAAGTCCTGATTAAGATACACTTCTCTTTAAATGTTTCTTGAATAAGTTTTTTCAATACTCTCTTTGAGCAATAACAAGACAATAGGAATGATTTTTTATTTAACAAATTTTGCATTATTTGCCTGTGATCCAATGAATGTTAAAAGTAATTTATTAATTTCAATAGGGCTGATAAATATAGAAATTTTATTTCCTATATTTCAATATTTACTTTATTTAATTCTTTTTTCTTTTTTTTTTTAATCGCGCTATAAATACATTGAACGTAAGAAATTTTAAAGAAACACTTTAGTTCGCGTGTGCAATATGCGCCCGAAATATATCATATTTTTTGACAAAAATAAAAAATAAAAAATTTGACATGTAAAAATGGTACAATAATGATGCATGATTTTCGGGTTTTATAAAAATAGTTTTGAATATGAATAAATCACTCGGATACGTAAGCATAAACGCTTTGTACAAAAATTTATGCAAAAATTTAAATAACATTATTGAAACAAACAACAAAAGCCAAAGAAAAGTGTAGAGTAGAAAAGAAAAAGAAAATTTTGTAATGCTTACGTGAGGAAAACATGTGTCAGTTGGGCGAAAAGACCGTCATCGACGTTTAAGGGCGTTGTCGCTGCCTCGCAAATGGCCCTCAAAAGGCAACTCTTGCCCGATTGAAAGTTTGAGTCAATAACCGACTCAACTATTTTATAAATTACATATCGTCCAATACTATTGACACCATGTGAAAGAGGCGAACCTGACTGATCTCTATCTAAAATTACAATTTACATTAAGAGAGTGATTAAAGTAGAATAAGTAGTAAGCGCTCTTTAAAATATGAAATGTAACACGAAGCGAGAAGAATAAAAAGAAAAAGAAGAAAAGAGAGGGTGCTTAAGCCGACGACGAAAGTGATTAGTCAGATAAAAGTAAAGAACCAAGGAATATCTGACCATATGTATATATATGTGTGTGTGTGTGTGTGTGTATGTAATGGCTTTTATTCTATTGTATCGCAGACTTGGCCCGATTTTACGCGAGCCATACAAAATAAGAATAGTCCATTAATATGTAAAAGAAGAGTACGCGCGCTTTATTCGCGCATCAAAGTTCTTTCACTTTCATCTAACAAAAGTCTCTCAAATACCTGCAACAATTTTTTTTTTTTTTTTTTTGTACCAGTTGCCGAACCCTCTTAATGAAAATTCATCTATCCAATCGTACGTACATTATGTCTTGGAAAAATAATTAAATAGAAATTTGTTGCATTATTGAAAACTTATGTTTAACGTTAAGCTTTGCGTATAATACTCCTCCATGTTGTGATTATACCTTAATAATTTATATCTCTAAGTTATAATTAAATTTATTTAATTTTATCGACTTATCGCTTCTTTAGTGTCTTAAGGAGCTTGAATTAATTGAATTAGTCTTCTTTATTAGAGTGGAAATTTTATAGTCACGATATGTTTCTCTCGGATAAAGTTATGCTTAAAGGCTACAATAAAGTGTTAATTATATGTTTTTTTTTTTTTTTTTAATGTATACTCTTTGCTGTTTCTCTCGAGAGTACATCCTTAGCTGCTGTTCTCTGGAGACGGACGTACGGTTCGGTGAGATAAGATGCGTTAGACGGCAGGCGATAACTATATTTTATTACGTAACCCATGATCGTATTCGCATCAATTTCCATAGGAATTCCCAGACCCAACACCAGCTGAAATAATCCAATGTCACATTTATTTGGCGCTATTATTATTTTATTATTTACTAAACTATCGATAAATATGCAAGTGCATAATATATATATATATATATATATATATATATATATGGTGAATGGAAGCTTTCCATTGTATCAGGTATAACTTCGGAATAATGTTGGACGAAACAATGTCGCAGTATTGATGAAAATTTGCATTTATCTACTATTGTCGTTATCGTAGTAATTTATCGATTAATGTGAAATAAAATTGAAAGAAATATGCTTCTTGTGGCATTCAATAAGAACAAAGAAACAGTCGTTTATGAAGCTTCATCTCAATTAGAGTGGAATGAAATGTCCATCGATATTATGAGTGCTTACATCGAAATTTCCAATCGATCTATGAATATTAATATACGAAATGTCCAACTAATCCATTATAATTGTGCGGTCCTATTGACTTTGCCCATTTTGCTTTATGCAGTCATTCAATTGTACATTTACAGCTACCATACATCAATTGGACTGCCTATGGATTATTAAGAGACGCATATTGTGTTTAAAGTTGGTTAAAGTTGATTTGGAATGAAGAAAAAATCAGTGATAATATACTTGACGTTTAAATGTTCACTCGTCTGTGCATCAATATGAAAACATAAGGCAGAAGAATTATTTCCCAATATAAGCGGAAAAGAAAATTTATTTCCCTTCGCACGAGCATAACAATTAGCATCACCTTAACCAAATTATTGGTCATGTTCCATTCTCGAGCCTCCAATTTCCCTTATAAAAGCAGATGATTAAAGTAAATCCGACACTGGACATTATAAGTATTGAGTACCGGAGCGGCAAAAATCACTGCTCATCTCTGCGAGCAAGTTTCGAGTAAATGAAACGGATGGAAGCTCATTAAGAAGAGAAAGACTCACCTGAACTTTATTGGGACCGAGATCCGTCACGGGCGGGTAAACCAAATGCTTCGGCTCTGCGGCTACCGATTCTCCCGTAACCATCACAAAGAAGCTCATAAGCCAATAGCCCGTGTTAAAAGCTCCGACTAATTGCATTTTCTTTTATATTCTTAGTAAGTAGCTTCGTCGCGTCGTTCCTTCCGACTGACTAGTCACTCATAGTCACCGATGCAGTCGTAGGGTCATGAAGCCATCGATTAACATTTATTATTATCTTTAACGGTCTATTAGCAACTGGATGGCCGGATGGACGTAGTGGTTGGTATTGAAGAGCGAGGATTGAAAAGTTGCGCCATTAAAGGCCTCGGTGGCCTTCCTGGATTATACCAACACACACACACACACACACACACACACACACAGATATATATATATATATATATATATATATATAGACTGGAGTCGCTTCTAACGAGACTAGATGAGACTGGGAGAGAGGCTGCAGTTCTTTAACGAGTCGGACTCGACAATCCTCCAAGCGACGAACATTTAAATACAATACTTCAGCCGATAATTATAGCGGAAAATCGTTAAGCGGCCTGCGAGATGCGGATAACGAAAGGGAACTACGAACTCTCTCTCTCTCTCTCTCTCTCTCTCTCTGTCGGACAGCTAATATCAATGGCTTTTTCTTCCAATTAACGTTGCGCGTAGTCGATACTACAAGTTGATACGGGGGAAGGCCACACGAGGCGTTTGTTCTATTTCAATGGCGCTGGGCATTGTTAAGTCATGACTCGATTGGGATATAATTAAAAGCACCAATTGTTCCCAAGACATGTTTATTGACGTTCTATAGAGCTTCGTCGATGACCGATTAATAATAAAATTATTTATCTTGAGAACGGGTCAAACGTAAAGGAGATAAATGTGACAAATAGAAAGGGAGGAGGAGGAGGAGAAGGAGGATAGATAATAATTATGATCACGATGATGATGATGATGATGATGATGATGATGATGATGATGGCGAGTGAACTAATAGGAGAATGGAAATGAAGAATGAATCGTTAAAAATTAACAGGTTCGGAAATCTAGGACTGTAAATAAATGAGAAGCCACTATATTTCAACAATAATTGCTTATCGATCGGAACAAAATGTATGCCGACGAAATATTGAATTCGACAAATACTGTATAACCGCTAGGATGGAGTAGTATAATGCAGGAATGAAAATTGAATGAATCACTGTCGACAATTTCGTCTTTTTGGACTGAAATTAAATCCGATAATGGCTTATGACAATCAACCGACAAATCATTTCAGGTATGAAATAAATTTCTTTGGAAAATTGGCACGCACTGTGAACATTTACTCGAGCATTTTCAAATCATTAAACATTCCGATCATACACTTTAACGTATCTATTCTTTTTATTTCTTTCTCTTTTAATCTCTCTCTCTCTCTCTCTCTCTCTCTCTCTCGTGTATACGTACGCTCTACGCGTATCAGCGTGCGTGTGCGCATGCGTGTGAGTGTAGGTGTGCGCGTGCGTGTGAGTGTGCGCTTGCGTGTACGTGTTCGTGTATGAGCTTGTCATTGTAGATCCTTCCTTTCTCCTTCGCACTACCAAACTGTTCGATTTTCATGCTTCTCACTGCCTTTCCTTCAATTTTCTCCCTCAACGCCGTATTGATAGATAAAGATCAACAAGGAATTAAGTACATTTCACAATGCGGGTTACCAAAACTAGTTGGTAAACCAAGTAATACGGCTTTATTTGGAACAATCCTCGTGAAAAGGAAAAACAATTACATTTATCATCGATTGATTTTTATAAAGAAATAAAATATTTTACACATTGTATAATAAAAAATGTTAAACATTATATTTAAATTATTTATGAAAGCGTTTGATTGATTGTAATTTCATTTATATTAATTTGTAATGTCACTTTTATTTATATTATATTATATTGTATTATATGTAATGCATTAATTTTGTAATAATAATGAAACATCTTATTTAAAAAATAATTTCATTCACAAATTTCACATTAATTTATTTGCTTATCCTCAAGATATCCTGTAAATTAAAAAATTAATTTAACCAGCTGGTATTTCTTGCAATGCTCGAATCATCCAATATCTTAAAGATTTATAATTTAGCTCAATTATTCTTTATGACTAAACTTCATTTATTTTATGTAAATTATTATTATTATATCAAATTTAACACTTCCTAAAATTTGTCTAAATTTACATTTTATTTGCATATATTTTAATAAATTTACCTACAATTGTATTAACAAATTTACGTATAATTGTTGTATTTATTGCTTGTTTTAGTCCAGAAAAAGTACACAATTTATCAAAACTCGACAGTTTTAGAAAACAAATTATTTATCAAAAATTATCTTTCAATTCTAGAATAAAGTGATAGTGATTCCATAAAATTTATATAAAACCTTGCTGTTAATGTTTTAAAAGCACTCATATATCAAGTAAATTTATAAACGATAATTGCTTTAAATATTTCATGGTTCTCTTATTATTATTATAATAGCTTCACCTTTGTTCATATTTATATATTTCAATATTTATTCGCACTTCGTAAATAGATGTTATTGATAATAACTCGCTTATATTTTATAATAAAAAAAAAAATCAATCAAAAGCAATGCAAAAAATATAAGGATAAGGAAAAGTATCTAAAGTAAAAGTGTAGATTAAATCTGTAAGTTATACATATCTTGTTTGTCTCACATATTCTTTTATTCATCATACTTAAACTTGTCATACACATCACATCGATTACCAGAACTTTCATAGAGTCCTTGCACATAATTCCCAGCGTTCCTCAATCTTACATATGCGTATCGATATTAAATTGAGGGATGAAATATTTAAAACTGCAACACAACCTTAACAAGAAAGTAAGCTTACGAAAATGATTGACGAGCATAAATTTATTGACATTGCTTCCGATACTGTACAACTAGACTAAGTAATACGTACCTGTCATCATATTCTCTTTTTCTACATTTTTACTTTTTTTATAATGCCTAACTCTATTATACTATGACTACATTTTTTTCTGTATTTTTTTCTATTTTTAACCCAATGTACATTCACTCGTGCTGTTAACGTAAATGAATGGAAATTAAATATTTAAAAAATATTTTAAAAAAAGACTTAATTATAATGCAAGCTCCATATATATATATATATTATATTTACAAGATAATCTGATTAAATAAAGTTAATCGTGTTCAAATGTATGACAAAAAAATGACAAACAATATATTGCTTCAATCAATTATAACAGCGATTATTAATTACTGTTTTGGTTTTTTATTATTATTGATTTATAGGGCTAATACATACAAATTTTTAATATTCGTAATTAAATATGTATATAAAAATAAAAATTCTTTAATCTATTAATTCTTTCGGTACTTGTGTGTTGTTATATATGGTAATGGCAATGTTAATAATCATCATACGTGATTATTATTATCTCTAAAAGATATTTTCAACTTTTAAAAAAGAACATTTTAAATAGCTTTTTGCTTATTTTATAATGCGAAAAACTTATGGGCAACTTAATAAAGATAATTTGTAAAATTATACACACACACACACACACGCGCACGCACATATATATATATATATATATATATATATATATATATAAACACAATCTATTACAATACATATTAAACTTATTCAGATTATTTAATGTTTGAGTTTGAGAAGTATTGTTTTATTGCTTAAAAAATGCCAATATTTCTTCTTCTATAATTGAAATCATAAGAATTATTGTTCATAATATAAATATACATAATAGAAATTTAAAAAAAAATTATATTTATTATACATCCAGCCATTGGTGTCGGAAAGCATGTAATTAATGCAAAATATAACTAACCTTTTGTATTGTAAATGAAAAATGTCTACTGCTTGTGAACATTAAGTGTTGAATTTTCTTCTGATAAACTTATTATGAGTATCACGTATAATAGAGAGCCACTTACAAAGCCGCATAAGCCTCAAAAATATCATCCGCAGATCTATTTTAACGTGAAGTGCAAGATGCATTAGTAGTGAGGATAGAGGAGATTAAAAAAGTTGTCGAGAACAATGGGCGTCGCCTTCCATTTGGGCAGTTGTCAATGGGCAATAATCGTCGAGTTGTCAATCGGATTTTAAATGCCACTGGAAACATCCTTGTATCTCGCTTGCACAAACACGATATAAAACTTTTTATTTCTTATTTCTAATTGACTTTTCATTAATTGATCCTCGCTTAAGCTCAAACTAACTTGGAAGCCACAAAGTTTTCCGTTGTCAACTATTGATGAATCCTCACCCATGCAATAACTCATAATATTGATTCGATTTTATAAAATTTCGTCTTATATTTTATCAATCAGACTAAATTTCAAATATAAAAAATTTATTTTATGTAATTTAAAATTTTTTCAATGAATAACTAATATACTTTAGACTTTTTATTAATTTTTTATTAATTTTTGTTCCAAATTTTCGGAGCAATAAAATATTCAATTATATAAAATTTAATAAGTAACTTTACAACTTCATGTATATTATAATAGACATACTTTACATGATAAATTGAATATATCATACTTTATGTAACGCGAATGAAAATCAACAAAGTCAAAGCAGCTTGGAGAATCAATTCAAGTTAATTTCAAATCTGTATAATCAAAATTTCAATCTCAAATTTTTCCTACGCTTGCCTAATTATATCTAAATAACCTTATGCTATATCTTACTCATTCAATAAATTTTATTGAACGTTATTTTTATAACCGTGTATACTCGAATTCGATTGAAAAAGATGTATTTGATAACATACGGAATGAAATTCAGATCTCCCGTACTGAACAATCACTTGTGCATCCCTGTTGTTCATTGTAGAACTCAATAAACTTTGGATTTATTGGTATCTTATTACTTACTACCTTTTGTTTTACTTTAACGAACAAGTTGAACATACTTTTTACTTGAAGTAACACGAAAATAAATATTCAAACATTCATCAAAGTAATGGCAATGAATTCATAGTATTAACTAATTGAATGTATAATTATTATCCTGAGAAGGTAGTTAGTTAAACTCTATCATAACTAAATATAAATAATTGTAACCACAAGGGAATTCACGGAAGCTCAATATATATTATTAATATAAATAACTTACTGACTCTCAATTATATATCCTGTAAAATGAAGATAAATTGAAAATTCATTTCTTTTAATAAAGAATGAAAATAATCACATTGTATTACAAACAATTTTCCAGGTAAATAAATTTTAAACATATTTGAACATATTTTAAATAGTATAATATAACATTCATAATTCTTAAATTATATTACATACTGTAGAAAGGAAAATCGATTTTTTATATTAAATATTTCCTCTCCATATTATAATACGAAATTCAGAAATTTTCTAAAGAGAAAAATCTTATGTGCAAGCTGTTTATTTTACAAATATTATTGATAAAAAAAAATGGTTACAAAAGATTTTCTCTTGAAATAGCATTTCAACTACAATAGAAAAATAATTAATGTTACAAAAATCATCAATTTATTCTTATGATTTTTATATTTGCATTTAAATAATTATACAAATAAACAAAATTATTTTTATATTATTAAATATAGCAATAAAGTAGATCAAATCATTATGAATGCTAATGACGAGATTATTTTCTAAAGTTTAATGTTTAAGCTTTCCTGATTCGGCTAAAATTGTAAGTAAACAATTTTCTCTCATTGTTAGTAAATTGCTAACTCCCATATAAGTTTCTAAGAAATATATCGCTTATTATATATATATATATATGATACAATCATTACATATTAAAATAATTAAAAGTATATAAATTAATTCAGATAAAATACGATATATTCGTATTTTATATTATATATTAAATATATTAAATAAATATTAAAATATATATTAAAAAAATATTAAATATTAGATATATTAAATAAAAATTTTCTACAAATTGAATGAATTAATATTATATATTGTCTTCGATAAAATATTGCGTTATTGTAGATTTATATTATATATTTAATAAGACCAAAAGTAGAATTTTTCTTTTTAATGATATTTAATATAAATACAGAGATGATTAGATCAATTTATCTTTATTACAAAAAAAATTCATACATGATTTTAAAACATTAAAATTATATAAAAAGTTATTATGAAAGTTTTTGTAAAATATTTTTTTTTCGATATCTTATACTTCTTAATAACTATTATATGTTTTTAAATTGAACTTAAAACTCGAAAACTTATTAAGTTTAACTAAATAAATTTAATTTATATAATCAACCCATTTTAAATATATCTGACAAATTTATATAACATAATATGTAATATAATATATAGACTCATTAAATAAAGATTCAATAAATATTTAAATTTGATTAAAATATTGATCAATTAACTTTACCTCCAATATTTAAAATGAATATAATTTACGTGAAATACAATAATTATTATATTAAAAATAATTCAATACTTTCAATTGATGCTTAAAAATATGTATTATTTTTAATATTTATAATATGTTAAATATTATTTAACTTGTTTCAATAAACCAAATTAGAAAATTTTAATAAATTATTAAAATAAGATTATTATATAATACTACTAGAAAAGACTACTAGAATAATAAAATATTAAAAAAAGTGTTTACTACATTTTTTTCTTACAATTTTTAATTATATATATATATATATATATATATATATATATAATATTCGATATCATTGAGATATATGTAGCGTGGGTGTCTGTTAAAATGACTCGAAGAAAAAGTACAAATAAGTTTACAGAACTCAACTGATATGAGAATCCTTGTAAAAATGGAGAATTCTTCATTTGATATCCAGATAAATATAAATATATTGCGATGATAAATATTTTTAACAAGATAATTCGAAAAAGGTACATTATGTCACTTATATATTCATTTATATATACATACATACATACATATATACATATATATACCGATAAATGATATACAATATTAATAAATAATCTTAGCTTGTTAGTTATAAACTGATTGCATATTTTTTTATGAGAAATGGGGAATACATAATTGCTACAATTAATTCTGCATGTTAAATACAGTATTATTAAATAATTGCGCATAATAAAATTAAGTTAATAAATAAAATTATTAAATTTGGATTTTTTTAATATGATTTACGTTATATTTAGAGGTATATTTTTAATTTATTTAATAAAACATTGTATAACTTTTTCAATAAACTTTTGATCAATACTCATCAAAGCTTTCTTTTTATAATTATCGTCTCCCTAATTATAATGTAACAATCTTAAATTTAAAATACACAACAAATGTTTATCTTTTCGATGATATTATTTAAATAATGAATTATAATTATAATTTTAATTATAATACCAAATCAGAATTATAAAATCTGTTCTTACTACTTCAAAGTCTATAATATCAGTTGTAGTTACTAAAAATTTTATCATCACATATACCACTGTTAATATAATTAAATGTATATTATATTTATTCTTATTGTATATAATTCTATTAAATCTAATAATTGAATCTCTACATTATCAGAAAGTTTCACATTTTCATTAATTTTACTTTATTGGTTATCAATAAATACTTCTCCGGAGTCAAGTTCAAGTAGTAATCGGAAATATAGATTACGTCATCCTATACTTTAGTTTTGTGTTAATGAGCGCTTAATAACTTATCGAAGTAGTTTCCGTAGGTGTTAAGTAAAGCATTTGTACTTACTATTAAGTTGCCATTCTTATTCAATGTTAAATTTAAATAACCTTGGAGAATTGGGAAGGCAAGTATGTCTATATAGTATTTTAAAAATATGTATTTTTCTTATAATGATTTTGTATGTACAAGGAATAAACTTATTTGTATTTTGATTTTCTCGGTTCATTTCTCGATTGTCTTCGACTTGATTAATTTTAAAATATTTTTTCAATCATATTTAAACTATCATATTTAAAGTTTTAAGCTTTATACTTATAAAATACATCTGTGTTTAACGCAACTATAGTGGATAAACTAAACGCGATTTTTACTCACAATCTTTTAATAAAAAGTATCGAAACTTAATAGTATATTGCAATTTATGTTCTACGTAATTTAATATAATGGATAGTTATTTTCTCAATATTTCAATACCTTTTACGCAAAGATGATCATTATTAGATAAAAAAATAATATTATAGCTCGTACGTTATTTTAGCTAAAAATAAATGGAAAAAGCCACATACTATATCATACTTATACAATAATTTTTTGTTTTATAAAATATTCATTATATTTAATGATTTACAATGTTCCTTAATAATGTATAATAAATTGATAAATATTAACAAATATGAAAAATACGTGAGTTTATATAATTCCAATAAAGAATTTCATGATAAAATAAAGAACAGTATTTTATGGATGTCAGTAAGTGAATATAACTATATATATATATATATATATATATATATAATGGAGCTAAAATTCATATAGCTATATTAAATTAATAATAAAACTTTTCAACAATGTAACTACAAGTATTCTTTTTCGCAAGCAGTACTCTTCAGTATCGAAATTCTGTTGCCACATTTAATAATAAATAAAATTTAAAGCATCTAAGCCAACGGCTAGCGGAATTTCGTGTCAAATGTTTTACATATTTTCCAACGAATAAATAATTATCTCATTTTCCAACGCGAGAATGGAAATTAAATGAAAAGTCTGGTGTTTCGCAGCGATAGATACCGAGACTCACGTATCGATGTATCGCGTGAAATGATCCAAAGGACTGTAAGGACAATCGCGATAGAAATGCCTGCAATCCTGATCCCGACCCGAGGCCTCCGCCTTATGATACTGGCGATCGGTATACATTTCATATTCCTCGTCAGTCATTGTTGGTGTAAGGAAAGCCTGAAGCAGTTGCCCCAAGAGACCTGGGCGGAAAAATGGCAGAGCCGCGGCCTCGCAAATGACCCGGAGGAGACAACCCCTGTCTATCGCCGCTTCCAACATTCTATACAAGCTCCACCTCGATACTAGATACGAGTGGTTTACTTTCCAAATAGTTTATTAGAAGCCAAAGTGACCCCGCGATAACAACATATCTTCGTAAATACCTTTCGAGACTCGTTTTGCGGCGATGTTATTTTGTCGGGATCCGGTGCCGTTCTCCGAGTTGTACGGCAGCAGGTAGTTGCATTTTAAAACGTAGCCGAGCGTCATGGACACCTCACCCTCCATCGGCAGTCCCAGGCCGAAGAGCACCTAAAACGTGCCAACCATAAAGTACCTCCTCCCACCCACATCCCTCCCATGAACTCACGAGCTCACCTGCATTCTCGTCTCGCTACCCCGAGGATCCGGATATAGTAGCTTAGGGGCTCGCCACTGAAAGCGGTCAGTCGCAGAGCCACTCCCCAGGATCGCGAATGCTAAAAAAAGAAGAGGACACCAGCGAGTCTCCATGCCGGTAACTGAAAATACTTGCACAGGGTAGCGGGCGACCGGCTGGTCTACGTACGCGTTGTGTGCATAACGGATCGTTTAGTGCCGCGACGGTCTAACGAGCAGATAAGCTGCGAGAGCGAAGCACTCGGTCCACCACAGTCGACCAATAACGAATTTACAAGCCGTGGTATCGTGGCCGAGCGTTAACAACACTCTTAATGGCTCTCCTAAAGTGTCCGCGTATACGGTAAGTACGAGAAGCACCGCTCGCTTTCACTTTCGATATCGTCGCCGTACTCGCGACTCTTCCCTTTAATTAAGTCCCGGAGTTTTATGTTGATATAGCCAAGGGCTCGCGGCCGTCCTCCTGATTGTATCGATGACTCGTGCAGCTGCCACTCAGAATTCGGAAATGGCCAGCATCATGCATCGTCCAATACGGGCGATCTCCTATCCGTCGAGTAGCAACATGGGCGTAAGTAAACTAGTACGCGGCATCGAGGAAAAAAAATTCTTAATGACTCATTCGACCGTAGATATTCTTTGCCTTGGCCGTGCCCCTCGAGGATCCCCTCAAGTCCGTCTCGCTGTCGTACTTCTTCGAGGCCAATTACGGACTGCCCGTCAACGCAAACGCTTTCGGCATGGAGGAGGAGGAGGGCGGTGAGGAGGGCGGTGTGGAGGGTGGTGAAGAGGGTGGTGATGAGGGTGGTGAGGAGGAAGTGCTCGCGGGTAATGCCACGGAGAGTGATATGACAACGACGACGACGACGACGATGACGACGACAACGACGACAACGACGACGACGACGGCGACAACTACGATGAGTAGGAGGAGGAGGAGGAGGAGGAGGAGGGTGGATAAGGGGAGAAGAAGCATCGACCGCTCGACCGTTTATGCCGTTCTTCAGAGCAAATTTGAGAGGTTAGTATTTTTATGTACCCGGCGTAATCGACTTTAAATTCTGGCTGTTATCCGAGGCCGCGTGCCTCCCTACTCCTTGACGCCAAGACGTCCAACATCTTTGCGATCCCAACATCTTTTTTACACATCGCAAAGTGCTCGATTTAATTGCGTGCTCGCGAAGAGTGGACAAGTGAAAACTTTCGGTATTAAATTACAAATATTTTTTTTAAATTAAACTAAGATAAAATTAAACTTGGATGGAATTTCGAACCTTACGACACCACCGACACCACCTCACATTAATATTCATAGTACATTAATTTTTAATAGATTTAGAATGATTATTCTTAATAATCGACTCTGACAATTACATTAATCGAAAGGGAAAAGAAGCTTTAGGCACTGAAGTAAATTCAAACTGCACGCGCAATTGAGTGTTTACGTGTTAATTGTTATTATGCTACAACACATTACGTACAGATTAATAATATTATATCCTTAATAAACAATACAAACTAATAATTAAATTCACGCCTCACGCGCGCAAGTGTATATATATATATATATATATATATATAATATTTAAAATATAAATGGATCATATATAATATAATCTTTATGCATAATTTATATTTAATTCAGCTTTTTAAGCTAATAATAGTTTTATTATAAAGGTAATTATCTACAGAAGAGAAATTCAGAAGAAGAGTAGTGTAATTTTTAAACCATACGTTTCTTTTCGCTTAGTGTTATTTAATAATGAATTAAACTTGTTGTAATATTTAATGTCTTTTAATTAGAAAGGGGGGAGAAAAAGAAGAAGTTGGTTAGTTACTGTAACAACTTTTTTTAACGAGTTTTAAGTTCATTCGTTCAACATTCAAAATTTAAATTTAATCGTTTATTAAAACGTTGTTAAAATTTTAAAGTAAACTTCACTGGGCTAGGCAATATTAGAATATCGTCATAATTTATCCTTGCATATTAAAAGGATTACATTAAGTTTTTAAATAACAATTTTCCTTACCTTCTCAGGACATTGAGGATTTTAAGCAAGTTTTAGTTTTCATCGAGTATCATTTAAACAATGCCCAAGTAATGCTGCATAAATACAATATTCTCAATAACACTTTGCATATAACGTGGATGTACGTAGCTCCATAACTTGATATATATACTCGAAGGTGTTTTCTTGATGAATGATATATAACACAATGGGAGCTCGTATCTGGTTTCATTAAAGCGCCGGATTCCCAGGACATGAGTGCTTGCTGCGATCGATCTGCGAGGCCTCGGAATATCCACTCGAACACAACGGCATGCTGGGGGACATCTTCCACATTGTTTTCTCGTAAGTCTCGTCATTTGTCAATTATATATTCGCTCGAATAAAAGTCCCTTACTCACCTCCTTCGATCGATTTTCAATCAGCACATTAGCTGACCTTCATCGGATTCAAATATTTCAAATCCACCTCTCCGACTAGTCCCCCCCCCCCAGTGCCCTTATGGCCACAAAAAAATACAAAAACAAAAAAAAAAACAAAAACAAAAAAACAAAACAAAACAAGAAACGGATGGGGTGATTCACTTGGATATTATGGGCTTATACTTCCAGTACTTCGACCTTTTATTCTTTCAGAATGTTCGATAAAAATACACGCGGCAGACTAATAACTCAGAGTCGAGATAAAGCGAAGCTCCGAGCACGGCTTTCCCGAGCCCTTTAACGCATTTCCCGTGTTAGATGCTGGAGATACGGTCACCTTAAGGATCTCCGGCTCTACGAGTTAAGAAATAATTTGGATTTAGGATTCAGAATCTAAGAGATTTTTATCCTCAAATTTTTAATTAAGCCACCCGTGAACTTAATAGCAAACAATTAATCTACTTCGCCGTAATTTGTGGTCTTATTCAGAGATTCGGACGACTAACAAAATTTTCATTTTTCTTAGCCGCGCTTTCTCCGCTTTAATAATGACGATTGTATTAAAATTAATGTATCATCCATAATATTGTTTAATCGCATTAATAATATCAATGTATATCGCAACTTCGATCGTACAAAAGTGTGTTTTATTATGCTTCGTAATAATACAGATGTTATTTTGTCTATATATTAAATATTGATTTTACGCGTAAAAAGTAATAATTTTCATTCAAGCATTAATGGTTTCTATAATTGATATTGAGGGAAGAGAGCTGAATCAAACATCTATAAGCATTGCCTCCGCGTATAGAATAACATATTGAAAGAAATCAGCAAATTTCGCCAACGGAGATATATCGATATCGGTATGCCTTATCCCCCAAATCAAACACTGCATCCCTTCAAATTTGTAATAAATTAACTTATTTTTATACTCTAGACCATCTAGTTCGAGGCCAGAGGATCACCTGCCGGATGGGATTATCGAAGCCGAGCTGAAGGGACGTAATGGAACCTGTTTCGATTACTATATGCTCTGTCCCCTCGGTCTTTTCGACTTGATTGGAATCCTCCGGTGAGACCTTGTATTGACACTCCGAGGCTTAGTTGCTCATTCAAATCTACATTCACAAGACTAATGTATCCATGCATTATATACTTTGTACATTAACTGCAATTAATAAAGTTCACATTATTTTGCGCATTAATTTTCTTATCCGTTCATACGGAACTTGAAGTTTCCAGCAGCACCTGTCGACAAGCTGCTATTTGGTGGCCGATTTATTAATATTACAAATTGATATCGAATAGACAGTTTTATACATACAATTTTCTCTCGCGTAACATCGCATAAGTTTTATACAGTATTTTAAGTTTTATGGTAAATATATCGTTGCATACATTATTCATAATCATGGTTTAGTAATATTAATGATTCATTGTCATTCGGGGAAAACGATAATAATATAACTATTGGAATGTATGAACTGAGCGGACATTGAATTACACGAAAAATTCGCTATTATAATGAAATGAATTCCTACTCAGCTGAATCGAGTAAGCTTTTGCGGCAATAGCGTCTATAATTTTACAATTTTCACGTCTTTAAACGACATTCGAACGGGTGTCGTGTACATAGGCGGGCCGAGACGTTGAGTACCGCAAAGGCAGCTCGGAGCAAGCGAGATGCCGCGTTAAAAATTAAGTCCGAAGAAAAATTCATTTCTCAAGTAATTCCGTTGAAGGCTGTTAAAAATGTAGCTAGCGAAGGAAAAACGACCGCGCTCTATTTAAAAAATTCATGCGGTTCTCATCCCCCTGCTCTCGAGCAACCCTGCTTACTCGCATTCTATTGCGCGCAAAATGTGGCGAATTGGAAAAGAAAGTGTAACTCGGCGGGGCGGCGGCCTCTACGTACGTGTATTTCGGTCATTCAACACCATCACTAGGCGGCGAGAGTGCAACACGCAAAGTGGATTCCTTTGATAGGAAAAACGATATTGCGCGCCATCGGTTGTCAAAGTGTTCGACGGCTTGAGCGACGCGGCCTCGTAAATAAACGACTCGCTCTCTTTCTCGACCTCCGACACTCGCGAAAAATCGCGAAAAAAAATTCATCTGTAATCGCACTCGCCTCTACTTTTGAGGTTTCGCGCACCCACCCGCACTCTCCTGGAAACTTGCAAGCCAAACGAAAAATACGATATCGGTGATATGGTTGTTTCGCATCGACTATTTTGAAAATCACGAAAACAAAGCCCCCCCCCCTCCCCCATTCGTCGCCCAACCCCTTATTCCCTAAGCCTCGAGTCCACGACGTAGACAACGGCACGACTTTTATTAACAAGATTACTACGCGGATTTCTCTCGACTTTGCATTAATAATGAGTGCGCACAGTGCTCGGGGCGCCGTATTTTCAAGCGGGTTACAATTGACTTGAATATTCACCTCCTCAAGGGCAAACCACGGACTCGAAGGAAAATTGAAACAAGTGAAAGCTGCTGCGTCGTCCGTCTAGCCGTTGAAGCTCACGATCCAGACCGAATAAAGAACGATAAAGTTTGTATAAAGATGCCATAATCTCGCTGGGAATTTATTTATGGATAATACAGTGGTGCCGTAAAGTGTCGCTACGTCGCTTCGTGGAGAAAATCCCAGCCGTCGTCCGAGGGCCAGGAGTTGGAGAGAGGCGATGCCGTGGGAGGCTGAGAACTCCAGGGAGAGTCATCATTCACTTTAAAACGTCGGTTATGTACTGATAAATGGAGAACGGGCAGGAATGGTAGATCAAGCTGCAGTCGGTGTCCATGTCCGCTCCCTCGGCATCGGCGTACTCCAGCGGCAGACCCTCCTCCGCGCTCGAAGATGGCCTGCGGAATTACATCGGGAGATCGGTTCATAAGATAATCGATCACTCCGTCCCTTCTAATTCACCCGCTCGTCCAAAATCCAGACTCGTCAAAATGCAAGTCATTGACCACCGCAGCGCCTCGTCGTTCGTTCGATTAACCAAGCGCATTTGAATTCCCGTGCCTGCGCGCTCAACGATCCACGAGGAATGGCGAAAAAGTCGCGGCCGCGAATAGCTTGGATTACGATCACCACCGGCCAAGCCTTACATATTGAAACAATGCCGATTTCCCCGCGACCGTCCATTCCCATCATCTTTCGAGCTTTTATAAATTCCTACCTTGGCATTCGATAAGTCAATAAATCAAGCACACTGTCACAATATCCGCAATTCATTCGTTCATTCGTTCATTCGTTCATTCGTTGGTTCTTTAGTTCTTTCCATCTTTAGTTCTTTCCTTCGTTCTTTAGTTCTACCCTACCTTCGCTCGTTCGTTAGTTCGTTCGTTCGTTCGATGGCTCTTTAATTCTTTCGCTCGTTTATTCGTTCGTTCATTCATTATATGATTAAATTTAAGCGTTATGTTTTACCGCTTTATTCGCCTCGATCGTAACGACTTCTGTATTTTCAAATTGCCTCTCAAATTAAAGCTTAAACATCGATTAGGACACAAAGTTTTCAAATCCCGCAAGATTCGTCGCGGGATGTTGAGAAATCAAAATTTCAACTTTACTACGACCACGTAAATTGTCACTTTAGCTGTATTTGGCGAACTTTTATTATTCTTTTATTAACAAAATTACATAATCTCACATATTAGTCATGCATTGATCTAATTTTTTACAAAAATACTTACAAAGATAACGCAGAAAATGAAGAAACGCATCAAAATAGATCTATCCATTGTAAAAATTCTACTTCTAACGACATAATAAAAATTTTATTTCGACGATTAACTGTACAATATGCGCGCGCGCATGCGCACGCACACTGACATTAATTCACTTTATTGAGATTAAAACGTTAGGGGCGACATAAAGAAGATCATAATTGTTATAATTGTCGGATAGAAAGGATACATCAGGATAAAAGGTATGGTAGTTTAATGTCTCGTCGAATAGTTGGCGGAAAGTGGGTAACTGCGAAGGAGCGCGGTAAACTCCGTCAATCACTCAATTAGGCGGTTAATAAGTCATCCCTTGAGCACAAAAGAGACAAACAGTTTCATAATCCTCTCTTCATCGAGCTCCTCATGCCCCGTGATAATGAGCCAGAGCGTCGACCGCTTCATCGCTCACCGCACAAACGCCGTATTATCTACTCGGCCACGTAAATGCATACACAGAGAAAGAGGCTCATGTACAGGGATACCCGAGCGCGCGCTCATAGATATATGAGAGAAATGAGGGAAAAAGACTTACGTGAACGTGATTCGCATGAGATCGCCGATGAGGCCATTATGTCCGTGCAGTCGATCTCGTTCTCGAGAAGTTTCGCAAATGGACCGCAGCAAGCACTGCCTCCCCGGAAATCCCAAGCTGCGCAATGAACAAAGTAAGATCATCGTTCGTTTAACTACGAGGACGGATATTTTTTTTTATTTACAACGATCGGAAAAGGGATTGGGGATAAGGCCAAGAGTTTATACGCCATTGATTTATAGTGGTGATGGTGGTGGTGGTGGTGGTGGTGGGTTGAGAAGGTGTATACGTAGGCTCTTTAGATTATATGGTGCGATGAACTTATCGAACTCGAGAGAATATCAAAATGAGGTAAACATCGTTTTTGCCGAACTGAGGCGGAGGCCATAAAAAGAAGAATAAATAAAAATTACGCGAGAGGAAGCGTTTGGGGAAGGAGGCGAGTCAAGTGGGGGAGATGGTCGAGCGATTGTTTCACAATAAAGTCGAGTAGCGGGAATTCGCTCGAAACTGAAAGTTGACTTTCGAAGACCCATGAACTTTTTAAATTATTTGTCATGAGATAAAGAGCCAACGGTTCTCGACGCCTCCGCCACCCCCCCCCCCCCCCCCCCCCCCCCCCACCCC